TACCTGTTAATTTCTTTTGATAACTTCTTTTTATTCTTTTCCTCGATATTCTTCTTTTGCAGTGCCTTATGTCTGGATCGCTTATTTAATACCACACGGGTTATCTTCTCTGTTGTTCTTGCGACTCTGCAGTACAATATTACAATAAACATGAATTCCAACACTTGCCAATGGTGTATGTAAACAAAAAAAAATAATAAAAAATCTACGTTGAGGGGAGTAAAAAAAGAGTGCATACTTTTTCCCAGCCTCAGACACTTCATTTTCAGCATCTGCATCGTCTTCAACTTCACTAACATTGTCCACTTCAAGAAAGTACTTCTGCGATAGTAATTACAACATCCATATGGCTTAAACTATCAAACTCAATGCTTGTCTTTCCACTGATAATTTTATCACACACAAGCAAACAACTAACCTCGTCTTCATTGATTGCATCTCCTTCAATAGTCAAAGGAACAGGATCAGGCCCTAACTCATTCTTGTAAACTTTCTGCATTTCTTGAGCAACAGCTTCAGCCAACATATCCTACAATATACAAAACGAGGGAAGTCAATGGAAAACATTCGCATACAAGACGATAAGGCAAGCTCAGATCTGTTATAGACTTTTTACCTCGTGACTTTCAGCTGTAGGGTTGTACGAGCATCCTGCAGGATCAACTTCTACTGCTGGAATAATCGAAGTTTTCTTTGAAATCTGTACACCAGAAAAAATTTCTAGCCAACTGAGTCACAGTCTCGGACCAAACAATTATTACCAATACAGGAACAGCAAAAACAAACAATTCAATTGAATTACAGAGGACACATTACCTTTCTAGGGTTTCCCTTCTGTTGTCCTGCAAGTTTTTTAACAAAGAAAACGATGAAGCTTGACATAAAAAAGGATTCAGAAGGAACTAAAAGTAGAATATTTCACTAAACAAACCTTTACTATCATCACCCCACAAGTCAACCATTTCAGAATCATCAGCAACATTCTGCAAAGGGAAAATCATATGAACTAAAGCTGCCGGAGAAAACTTAGAGACGAAACATCTTAACATCAAGAGAATCATTTCATCGATCAAATGACTCACCTTTTGAGCTTGTTTAGGTTTTTCGCTTTCTATAGCAATTGGCTTCTTACTTATCTTCGACTTAGGCTTTGAAGATGACACTACCTGGACAAATGGGTTTTTCTTCAAAATACTGTCACACCGAAGCACTCTCTCTCTATGTTTCTCAATCTTCCGTTTCACCGGTAGGTCTGATATG